GGATCAACGGATTGGTCATGGAAAGGCTCTGAGGTCACTGGTTAGCAGTGGAGGAGTGTTATCCTCCAGTGGCTGTTTGATGGCCCATGTGTGCAATGAGTTCATGGATCTCAGTTTCTGATGAGAAAGTGTCTATGTGGCAAAGCCCACTATTAACTTTGTCTCTAACTGGCATAAAAGCCAAGGAGCAGATAGGTCATGGAGATCTAACTCTCCACACACACTAGAAGAGGTCCTACCAGAAGCCATCAGTCTTCAGGGGCTGTCTATCCAGCCTCTCTCTCCGGTGCTAAAGTCACTAATTAATCAATCCAGGACTGGGCTGGCTGAGGTGCTTTGTAAGACATGGCCTGAAAGCTATGAGTTTGCTTCCCATCAGGGCCGCCCAGAGGATTCAGGGGGCCTGGGGCAAAGCAATTTCGAGGGGCCCTTCATAAAAAAAAGTTGCAATACTATAGTAACATGTATTTGGAAATGTAAAAAATAACCAGTGAAATACATTCAAAAATTAATTTGTAATAATTTGAAAATACACTAAATACATTATTTAAAAACATTAAATGTTTTAATAGTATGTATACATTTGCAATTACATAATGGGCTGTTGCTGGGTGATGGTGATGGTTGGTGCCAATGGGCTGTCGCTGCCTGGGGGTGGTGCTGCTGTTGCCCAGGGCTGGGTGGGGAGCTGGGCTCTGGGTTGGGGGGTGCCCAGCTCACAGGGGCTGGGCTCGGAGCAGGGGGTCAGGGCTATGGGGGGATGGGGTCAGTGGGGTGTCCGGCTCACAGGGGCTGGGCTCAGGGCTGTGGGGGTAATGGGGTCAGGGGGGTACCCAGCTCACAGGGGCTGGGCTCGGAGTTGGGGGTCAGGGCTGTGGGGGGGATGGGGTCAGGGGGTGCCTGGCTCAGAGGGGCTGGACTCGGAGCTGGGGGTCTGGGCTGTGGGGGGGATAGGGCTGTGGGGGTGCCCAGCTCAGAGGGGCTGAGCTCGGAGCTGGGAGTCAGGGCTGTGGGGGGGGGGTCGGGGGGGTGTCCAGCTCAGAGGGGCTGGGCTCAGAGCTGGGGGTCAGGGCTGTGGGGGATGGGGTCGGGGGGGTGCCCGGCCCCGGCCCCTTACCATGCCGCTTACCCCCTCTCCCGTAGCCTCAGCGTGCTGCGTCCAGCGCTGCAGCGGCGTGGTGTTTCCAGTGGGGCCTGAGCTCCCGCCGCTCGGCCGCAGCTCCGCCCCCTTACCAGCTGAGACACCGGAGGATGGGGGAAGACGGAGGCGGGGGGGAGCCTCCGACATACTCGTGGGGGCCCCTGCGGGACCCGGGGCAAATTGCCCCACTTGCCGCCCCCTCTGGCCAGCCCTGCTTCCCATAACGAATATCCCATGCACACATCTGGGGCCTTAGCCAGAACTCAGTGCTCCTTGCTGCACCTCTGGGCAGGGTGAAGGGGAGGGATCAGTCTCTAACCCAGGACAGTAGGTTCCAGCAACGCAGTGACATCCACCACAATGGGGCTAGACCTGGGTACAGGTGAAATGCACAAAGTCTGCTCACTTGGGGAGGTGAGCAGAGCCAATGGGGAACGTCTATTAGAATATAAATTCAGGGGGAGGAGGGAAAAGGAGGTCACCCTTGTGCATTTACTGGCCTGTCTTATTGACTCGTGGATCGGATTCCCCAAGAGCCTCTTGGGAAGCTCCCCTTGTGCTCAGTGATTGGAAGCCATCCTCTGGAAGGCAAACACGTGCCGGACACCAGTGATGAGAATCCCCTGAAAGGCGTGGGCATGTGCTGCTGGCTGCGGCAGAGGAAGGTAGGAATTCCCAGTTACTGCATCAGACCACGGGAGGACACAGCATGCCCCAGAGTTTCCTGTTCTTCCTCTGCCATCTGGCCATTCCTGGAACCCACTGGCTCAGCCACTGCTATGCTGCAGGGTGTGCTGGACATCATGGTAAAAGAAGCCTGCACAGCCCAGGCTGCTCCTCCTTGAGGGCTGAAGATCCAGGTTCTAGTCAAGAGCTCAGCAAGGCTGTGTCCCAGAGCTGGGACATCAAGATTGTCTACCCTTGCACCCAAAGGGAGAGGAATGTCAGCTGTAGATACATCCAAGCAGAACCAGGGTGTAAAGGGACTGAACATTCTAAAGTGGCATTTCTCAAATATGGCCGCATGCAGTCACCAGGGGCTTTTCTTGCGGCCACAGCCTCCTGGGTGATGATAGGTGGGGGGGTGGGGAGTAACCCTCCCTCAGGGCCGCCAGCAGGGGCTGGTCTCTGTCGCCTTCTGGAGCCACAAACCCTGTAGGAGCAGGCGGCCAGCGTGAGTTTCCCGCCTTCCTGGGGATGGTGGGGCTCGGGCTTCAGGCTTAAGCCCTGGGATGGTGGGCGACAGGCTCTGGCCGTGCGGCAGCAGGCTCCATCCCCCACCTCCCCATCCAGGGCTTAATTTGTTCCCCAGCTTGCCAGGGCTGAGTAACTCTGCAGTGAAAAGTGATATTAACAAATATACAAAAGGTCACTTTTCACAGCAGACTTACTAGCTAGCAAATCTAAAAAAAAAAAGCAACCAAAAAAAAAGCAAAACATGCAAAGCACCTTATTTGTGTTTCTATTCTGTTTAGGCACAGTAATGAATAGACAACTGTACATTATTTTTAATTATTGACTCTGCAAAAAAAAACAAACCCTACATAAATAAATTACAATGATTTGGACATGTATATGTGCATATTTATTTGTTTTTCCTAAAGTTAATTAAGTCTTTTAGGAAAAATTGTCAGAACGGCCACAAGCAAGAGTTAGTGGTTGCACTCTGAGGCCACCCAAAAATTTGTTGCAAGAACCCCTGATCTAAAGGTCAGAGACAGTGATCCAGAGAGTGGAATTGATCACATGAGCTAGAGGAAAACTTGTGACCTTAAATTATTGACAGCTCCAGTGACTTCCTGCACTTGCCCTCTGCCCACCCCTTCTCCCTCCACCGCCTCTGTGGGCACTGTTTCTACATTAGTTTATACACAGTGGGGTCTGGGAGTAAATGCCTGAATGGCTGGTGTTTGCTACTGTGACGCAAGCTCCCATCAGCCCAAAGCAACAGCTGCAGCAGTGTAGAGGGAAGTTGCTAGAGCTTTGTGAGCATCTAGGCTTTCTGTAGCACCCCTCACCATGGTATCTAGGGACTAGATCCTCAAAGGTATTTAGGCTCCTAATTTCCATTGATTTCCATTGGCTTCCATTGATTGATGAAAGTTAAGAGCCTAAATACCTTTCAGGATCTGGGCCCAAGTGCTTCCCAGGTAAATTAGACTGGCATAGAGATCTCCCTATTGGATTTCCTGTGTCATCAGCTTGCCCTCCTTCTGTGGTAGTACACATGTCTTCCTCTTGGAATTAACTACCTCTGGGCATCAGAGAGGTGTAAACCCTCAGGAGGGAAAGAGATGCATTGTGGTCTCCAAGACAGAAGATCTAGAAGTTATGGATGCAACCGAGAAAAGCAAAACAGGCTGAACCTCCAACTCTCTTCCAAAGAAAGGAGTGGAAGCCCCATTGCTTGAAGCCCTGAAAATGTAACTGGACAAAGTCTGGGCAAATCCATGGTAGGGAACAATCCTGTAATGGCTGTGGTGAGGGGGATGGCCTAGTTTGGACCTTAGAGATCTCCTCCGTACCTAAACTGATGTGCAGCATTGAGAGACAGTGTTATACAGTGGTTATAGCTCTGGTCTAGACAGTCACAAGTCTGGAAGCCAGGACTCCCAGTTCTATTTCCAGCGCTGTCACTAATGTGCGACTTTGGGTTAACCACTTCACCTCTCTGTGCTTTAGCCTCTGTATCTGTAGACTAGGATAATTTTATAGAGCTAGACAGAGATTACAGGCACCACCTATGCGTAATGTTGGCTGACACATCCCATTACATAGGCGGCCTAGATCCTATAGGGCTAAATTGGTTAAAACGTGCATGTCTGTAAAGCAAATCTGGTTTGCTCCCACCAATGTCATTGATAAACGGCTTTTTTCAGTATAATTTCCTGCACACACTTTCGTACGCCAGCCTTGTCACCCACACAGCCTAGTCAGCTCCCTGCTCACGTCTACTGCAGACGGGTCTGTTATTTAAGGAGTCCGAAATCATCACCAGAGGGAGTAGACAGGCCCAGAACAGCTTAACAAAGCAACCCACAGCTGGGAATCGGCTGGGTAAACATCTGGGCCCACAGAGCATCTCTTTCACACTCACACGGATTTTCTCTCACCCATAGCCGCACACACACAAATTTAGGCAGCCCTGGAGGGAGGACGCAAGACGAAGCTTTCTAAAAAAAAAAAAACCCCCAACGAGGAGTCCTTGTGGCACCTTAGAGACTTTCTAAGTGTTGTTTGTTTTGCCCTTCCCATTAAGGGGCTGCGTGCTAAGCTGTGCTGCCTATGGAGCCAGCCGTGTCCCAAGCCGGGGACGGACACTGGCCCAGATTCACAAAGGATGCGCCCCCTCCCAGTGTTAATCTTCGCATGGAAACAGCCCTTCAAGCTGGAGGGGGCGACGGATATTAGCAGCTTGGCTCCTCGCAGTGGGGGTGGGGTCAGCGCAGGGAGCTCTAAGGGGGGAGATCCCGCTGGCTCTGGGAGGGGGTGCCCAGCGCCGGGGCTGGCAGGACAGGAGGGAGCGTGACAGGCTGCCAGGGGGCGTGCCGGTGGCGGGGGAATCCCGGCAGCTGCCGATGCCAGCGAGGCGTGGCGCAAGCTGACAATGGCTCGAGAGGGAAGCGCCTTCCGGGTTAGGGGAGGCGGGGCTCTGGTCTCACACTGAGCTAGGTTTGCGCTCGGCCCGGGCAGGCTCCATTCGGCTCCAGCTCGCTCGCTGGGCATGAGACCGCCGCGACCCCCGCTTTCCTTCCGGCCAAGGACCCTACCCCGGCCAGGCCTCTAAGCGCCCCCTTCCTGGTCCCTCCTCCCCTTCAAGCCCGCTGCAGATTCCCCGCTTTGCACCCCTGCTGCCCGGCCCCGGCTCCCCCTTTGTACTCCCTGCCCCAGCCCGGTTTCCCCCGCTCCTGTCTGAGATCCAGATCCCCCCCCGGCCTCCCTTTGGCGCAGACTCTTGCCCCCTCCGCCGGGTGCTTGGGGGGTGAGTGACCCCACTGCGCGCCCGCTGCCCTCGCACCATGGCTGGGACGCGGGGCTCGGAGAGGAAGGAGAGCTCGGAGCTGGAAGAAGGGCAATGTGACTCGGGCATCTACTCGATCCCCTCCATCCGCTCCCTGCCCGGGCCGCCGGAGGAAGGGGAGCACCCCCCGGGCCTGGGGGACACGCTGCGGGAGAAGGACTCCGGCCCCCTGGGCAAAGAGGGAGCAGATGCCCTGGAAGCGGAGGAGAGGATCGACTCTACCTATGGCTCGGCCTCCCTAACCGAGCCCCTGGCCGCGCTGGGGCAACTCCCCGAGGAGGAAGCAGAAGCCCTGGAAGGGCTCAGCCAGCAGCAGCTGGAGGCACTCACCTACATCTCGGAGGATGGCGACACGTGAGTGACCTTGTGGCTAGTGCTGTTCGCCCCCAGGCCGGGGAGGGACACCACAGGGAGGGGAGACTAGTTTCTGTGGCCCTGTCTGTCCTTGGCCTCTGAGAGCAGGGGAGCCAGTTAGTCCTGCTTGTGGTGGTGGCTGTGATGTGGACACTTGTCCCTTGGGGCCTGAGCAGCTCATCTCACACAGGGCCACCAAACAGCCATTAAATGCAAATGACTTCCAGGCACTGCTGTAATGCAGTCTCATTGACACCCGTGCCTCAGAGGTGAGCGGTTCTGCATCCCATTCCCTACCCTGCCTCCCCTCACCGCCTGCCACTGCTTGAGTCTGACACCAACCACAAAGATAAGATGTACGTCTTTAGAAATCGCCAGTGCCCCCAAAACTTCAAAGTCAGATTGTAACTGGGGGACTGTCAGTCGAAGACTCCATGTCCCATCTCCCAGAGCCATCCTTTTCTTCTTTTTCAGAGTCACATGTAGGCTCTCCGCCCCAATGAAATGTGTCGGGTATTTAACAATTAATCTAAGACTGGGCCAGATCAAATGGAACAAGCAGAGAGAAAAAGAAATTGCACAAATCCATTTACTGCTCAGGTCTGAGCTGTGGGACATGCAGACAGAGTTAGGGGTCTGGATGGGCTGTGTGGTCGAAATGAGACAGAAATCCATGTGCCAGTGAGAAGCTGAGTTTCTTCTTGTTTTGTGGCTGCCAGGAAAATGGGAGGCAGGTTCCATGTACAAAATTCTGCTCTTTTCACCTGTGAAAACTCAAAAGCCCAAAGCTCTGGCAGCAAGGGAGATGACTCACCTGCTTTAGGTTGTAGCCACATGACCAAATCCGCTATGTTGGAGAAGACCTGATTATGAAACACTTTAGTTCCCTCTATGCAGCTGGATTGAACTATGTTGGGGGTATATGGGTAAGCTGGCTACAGCATAACATGTGGCTCATATTCCTGGACCTAAAATGCCTTTGCAGATTCTGTGGCTGATGCTGATTCAGTTTGTAAGGGATTTTTGTGCACCTAAAGAGGCAGTGGCCTAACCCTGTATCTCTTCTACTCCTCTGTTACAGCTTTAGGTGCTATTAGCCTCTCTAAGGCCTAGTTTACACTTACAAATCAGATTGAGGTGTCGTGCAGGGCTGAGCACCGTAGTTAGTTTGACCTAATCTTGGGTGTAGACAGTGCTAGGTTGATGGAAGATTTCCTCATCTAGACAAGCCCTAAGTGCTGTGACTTTGGTGTGTGCTGGGGATCATTGTTTTCCATTCCCCACCGTGTCTAGGAGATGGAGTCCGTTGGAGAGGCTTCTGCTGATTTATCTGGTTCCATCTTCTAAGGTGCCTGAACCTGTTGCTTGTCATACTGGCATCAGACCCTATCATAAGCCTTCCGCTAACTGGAGAAGCAATTAACCAATGGTGGCACTTTTCGCTCCCTCCCGACAGGAGGCAGCTTTCCAGAGTTCTGCAAATGGCTGCAGTTGCGCTAGTGCATGTGCTCTCTCTCTCTCCTTTACAGTGCAATTTAAAACAGGAAATCTTCAAAGAGTGAGGGGGGAAAATGTCTGCTACTTATGGAGAGGCCTTTGTGAGTTAGTGCTTAGAGAAGTGGAACAGAGTCTGAACTCCTGGGTTATATCCCTGGACCCTAACTCTGGGAGGGAGTGTGTTGTGCTCAGAGCAGTGAGGCTGGGCTCCTGCAGGCTATTCCTGACAGACCTGGGCCGAGATATTTTCAGACGTGCTGAGCACTCACAATTCCAGTTGAACTCAGTGGGGGTACAAGTGCTCAGCACCTCCCTTGTGTTCTCAGTTTTTCTGTGTGTAAAATGAGGCTAATAATACTTACAAGGCTTAATGAATGAATGAAAGGGGCCAGAGAGGGCCCAGAGTTATTTTGTTGTTCTAGGGAGGCAGAGAAGATGACCCAATAGGCCTCTTCTATTTCTGGTTGTAGATTGCCCAGGAGCAGCAAGAGGAGAATTGCAGTTGTCCCATCACGTGCCTTGCTTGAATTCATCCTGTGAGGCAGAGCCTGGGCTAGCATTAGAACCTCCAGCTGATTATTTCTCAGAAGGTTCATTGAGCAATAGCACTTCCTTGTAACCATTCTAATTATGAACACAAAAGTCCAGGGCTTAGAGCTAGTAGTTCCTGTTTCTTCAGCTGTCTGTGTTGATTCAGTCCCTGATCCTGAGTGGGTGAACCGTCCATGATCTGGTGGGGGTAGAATGTGCTGTGGTGCCCCGTGTCTTTCCTGCGATGCACTTTCCTATGTGTCACCGGGAGCTCTGTCGTCAGTCTGACACTTGTGATGAAAGTTCATCAGTGGAGACAGAGATGAGCTTGTTGAAATCCCATCAGGAGCCTCTCATGGAAACGTGCTTCAAAGGAGTGGGTATAATTGATGTAGATTGGGGCAGCTGAGCCAAAACTGTCCCTGCAGAACTGAACCAGCTCTGCTCTGAAAACAAGAAGGGGCTCTGATGAGGCAGGAGGGGTTAACGTATTAGCCAGTCTGCCCTAGAGAAATGGGTCTGATCACAAGTGAAATGAGTTAGGCCTCTGCCTAATCCTTGGTGGACATTTGATTGAGTTACAAAATCTACTGCATAATTGGTAGTTTCTGGTTTGGAGAAGCCAGGACTAGAATAGCAGGGGGGCTGCAGGTCACGATTGAGGTATATTGGCAGAGCTGGAATAGTAGGAATGCTGTAGGTCAGGAGTGAGGGATCAGCAAAGTTGTGGGTTGGGAGTATTCAGGGACTGGACTAGCAAGAAGTACTGCAGTCAGGAATGAGGAATACCAAGGAGGATTGTGGGTCAGGATTGAGATGTGTTGGCAGAACTGGGTGGGTGAGATTGAGTCTAACCTCTGGAATAGCAGGGGGCTACAAGCCAGGACAGAGATATGTTGGTTGAGCTCTAGTTGGGGGTTGTTTGACATGGCAGGAGACATGCTCCAATGGTGGGCTGCTCCCAGGCATGCCAGCATTATCCTCTGCCTGGTAATGTCCGGCTTCGCCTCTTGAACTGACAGTTTATCTCTGCTAAATTGGATCCCAGGGGACTGACTCTCTGTGGAAGTTGGAGAGGGGTTTTCCAGCCTGGGAAAGGTCTGGCTGGCTCTGGGCAGGCCAGAAAGTAATGCTTTATTTGTGTCCTGGGCTCCTAATGAACTCACCCTCTCTTTAGGGAGTGACTTGGAAAAACTCCCTGTCTCTCGCCCTCACCAGGGAGCTGCAGAAAGGGAGTGGAGCAGGCTGCCCGTTGTTGCTTTTAATGGGGGATGGGATAGGATTTTCATTCACATTCCTGCTCTGGGCAACCCCCGCACCACCACTAATAAAGTGATGCTGACTGCTTCCCCCACCCCTGTAGAGATGAAGTGGATCCACTGGCATGGAGGTTATGCCTCAGTTTCCCCCATGTGTTCCAAGTCAAAAGTATTTCCTCTTCCTGTTCTCACCCTCTTGGGCTAATACTCCGGAGCAGCCAAAACATGGCCCCTGGAGTTCCACCAGGCCAAGGCCTATGCCTCCAACACCAATGGGTTTATTGGAAATCTCCAACTACATTTGGATGAGTAGACTACATATCCCAGCCTGCAATGCTCCACCTTGCCCTGCATAACCAAGCCCCATTGCATGATAGGAGCCCTAGTTCTCACAGGGTTGACCTCCATATGCAAGAGCAGGTTGCAGCCACTGTCTTCAAAGTAGGGGTATGGCGTCTGCAGCCCCCTCACTTGGGCAAAGCTCGGGGGTCCCCAGCTCAGCCCGCTGCCTGGGAAACAGTCTCGGTGGTTCCTTCATATGGAATTGGGGCCAGAGCTATTTTGGTAGCACCGAGGTCTGTCTGTGGTGTCTCAGAGGAGGAGGGGAAGCCTCACTTCCTCCCCTGAAGTGCAGTTAGTGTCGTGCCTGCTGATGGGAAATCACGTGCTGGTGACTGAGGGTTGATAACAAGGGATCAAGGTGGGTTCATGAGTTAATCCAGGTCCCGGTCCCGGTCCCAGTCCCAGAGGAGATGCAGTTCTAGTCTTCTCTCTGAGTGGTGGTGGCTAAAGCTGATGGGCATTTTTCTTGCTTTGCCTGGGATGTATGGCTCTGGGCTGCTTGCAACTGTTCAGTAATCACTGTGTGCCCTAGACCCCCCGCTGAGTGTCTCAGAGATGCAGGCAAGGTCAGCAGCTCCCCACAGTGACTGAAGGCAAGAGACCAGCTGCCAGCACCTGACCTATTGTGCTGTCCTGAAGCAGTGTTCTTGCAGCAGCATGGCCGAGCTTGTGTACGTTCAGAGTCACTGCTCCTACACTATCGCTCACTCATCCCCTCCAGGAGGGTGTTCATAGTGCTGATTATGCCATTCAGTTTCACACCACAGTATGTGCAAAAGAGGGAAAAGAATCACTGGCCCTGGGAGAACCCTGGGCAAGCTAGTTGGAGTTCAAAGAAGGGCAAGTAAAGAAGGGTCAGGCAGGCTGAGTTATGGGGAAAGATTTAAAAAGCCTGGCTATGGGATGACTGGGGGAAGATGTGTAAATTTGCCATTCTCTGCACGACATTGCTGCCCAGGAGGGGATGGGTTGGAATTAAGCAAATGGAGATTTAAGCTGAATCTCAGAAAAGCTTCCAGACACTGAGACGTATTAGGCTGAGCTCGGTTCCCAAGGGACGGTATAGAAGCCCCAGTAGCTCAAAATCAAACTGTAATAAATGAATATTAGAGACCAATCCTTCCCTGGCCCCTGCAGGACTGGATGGTCAAACAGGGCTTTCCACCTCTACCATCTATGATTCTAACCGCTGACTCTTCGGCTGGTCAGACAGAACACGGAATATCTCCTTCAGGTGGGGTTTGGCGTTGTGAACGTAACTTTATCTCGTTTCGAGCAGTCTGGAGCCAGAGATGCCAGTGTCTTTATATGAGGCTGACCACATGTCCAACTAACTAACTCGTTCACCTAGGAAATCACTAGACTGCACGT